TGGTTTATTGGTTCGGTTTAACAGTTTAAGCAACAACTGAATCCGAAGCATTCCGAAACCAGGTTTCTTCCCAGAATACGTTGGTAAATATGGGCAGGTGGCAAATTTTCCCTTGACCATCCACCAATTCTGAGCCTGCGCCTCTAGGCATCCCATGGAGTCCAAGGAGACAGTTTTAACCATGACTGGGGCTGGCGGGCCATTTTGGCTTAAAAAATCCAACTGTGACTCAATGTTCTTCCAGTCTCATGCTGATAACTATAACTTACTTATAACTGGTAAAGGGCCATAACATGCCATAACTTGCCATAACTGTATAGATTTTAATTTTCTCTCTGGAAACCATTTTGGGAATGACCAAATCGCCCACGTCTGCCACATTGCACACTCCAGCCACATCGCCCTTTTTTCAGCTCCTCAGCTCCTAATTCTTCGTCCAGGGCAGGTTGCCTCGGAAAATACCTGGACCACACCTGAGGCGACAGATTGGAGTGATGTTGGAGAGATTTTGGTCATCAAATCCAGGGGCTTTTGATCTACAATAGGGCAAAACACAAATCTTAGGGATTTTTTAGGGATTTTAAGAATCAAAGCTGTCCTTTCTGACTGTTTCTGATGGTTTTCCTTTCAATTTCCCTGTAAACCAAGTCTGGGAATGCGGTTTACTGACCACTGAGGTGATTTCTTCAAGGGCTGGGAACTTTGTTGCTCACTTGCTGGCTTGTCATAGCAAATCTCTGTCCTAAAGACTGTTGGGCTATTGAGAAAATAACTCCAAGTATGGACATGTATATATATATATACCTGCTACCCTGGATGTGCCATGATCATTGTCCTATTTCAGAAAGAGCTATCTTCTTGGCCACCTACGGGTAAAGAACGACCCATCCCCAAGATTAATGGTCATGAACGGTTCTGATCGATAATTAACGGCCTTGGTGTGAAAACACTGCACATACGGTTTTATATTTAATCAACAACATCTTTGTGTTTTGCTGCAAATAATTCGCATGTGTGTTGCCATAATTCGCTTGCGTTTTGCGATAAATCGCATGGATTTTTCCACATAATACATCCTGTGTTTCCCCTTCACCACCCCCATGTTACATATAATAATCTTGGCTTTCTTACATCCAACACCCAGGAGTCACTCACATTTGCATGCTGTATGCAACATGCACCTGCCCACTTCTCCGGAATCCCACACTGTTTCCCCATACCACCATGCTCATGTGGCAAACAGCACCTACTCAGTCCATGCCAATCTGACCTGTGTCAGATAGCGTTGGAGGGACCGCAACGCCATAAGTCTGGGTGAAACATGGCGAGAAATAAACGCCACTCGCCCCACCATATCTTCGTCAATGCTACAACTCTCTGCAATAATGTTGTAGCAAAAGTAATGGCGAAGAGAACGCCGCAAATATACAACTGATTCGTGCAGCATATGTAATTTGGGTTTGTAACTGAATTTTGGCTCACCCTGCTCATGTGACAGCCAAGCAAGATAACTGTAAGCCTTGAGGAAATGTTCCCCTGCCTCTACAATGGGAACAACTTGCAAGCGGGGTATCCAGAGGTCAGCATGGTAGAGCCCGGACATGAATTGGTTCAACGCCTTTGTAGCCGATGCCTTGGTAAGCATCGCAGGCTGCCAGGAAAAACATGAAAACCATATGGAAAACCTGTAAAAGTTGTTAAAAGAACCGGCTTATTTTATTTCCAATCATAACAGGCAAGGTGCCACAAAACGCAAAGTTTCATCCATTTGGCATTGCTCGTGAAACATCTCACACAGGTACTGTGTAAATTGTAGCAGAGTTGTGCTTAGAGCAGCTTTGTTCCAGCCACCAGTGGGTTCATCATTCTTTCCACAGCCTCCAAAAGTATCTTTTGTCAGTTTTGATACATAGCGGGTCTTTTTGTTTGCTGTGCAGTATTCTTTGTACAAGGCTGTCATATGCTGAAAACGCATATCGATGTTGCTTCCAGGCATCAACTTTTGTAAGAAGCACATTGCAGAGCTGACAAAATCTTTGGCGACCCCCATGTGAACCACATGCCAAATGTCCACTTTCCAGAAACGTGATTTGCCTTGCGGCGCCGTCTCATGTAGAAGGCTTGTTGTGAAAGCACTCTCTTCTTCCCATGGTTCTGGAAGGTGTTCCACATAAGACTGTTCAATCATTTTTTCTCCATTTTTCCTCAGTCTTGGAAACTGTCTTGGTTATAGATCGAACAAATCAAAGCCCCTTCAGCTACAGCAAAATTATGATTTTTAGGGCCAACTGAGAAAAACATTGATTATCCCCTTCAAGTAACATATCTTCCCACTCCAGCCCATTGTAGCCAGCGAGACAGAAATGGCAAATCCCTGCCATACATTTTGCATTCGCGCCCTCCTTCGCGCTCCTGGGGGCTCTGCGGTAGGACCTCTCCAACCCACCTGCTTCCACCTTAGCAGAGCATGGGAAAATTTGAAACGCACACACACACATTGAAGAGTGGGATAACAAAAAACAGGATAGCTCTTTCTGAAATAGGACAATGATCATGGCACATCCAGGGTAGCAGGAATATGTATATTGGGAAACATATAGAATATATATGGAGGTGTAAAATGTTGACCCAACTCCGTAGGATCGAGGCGCTTGGTAGGACCAGTCACCTTTAACTCCCAAAATAATGGGGTAGACCAGCTTTGGACCCACATAGAAACCATCCCGCTCTAAGTTGGCCCAATCCTCCGCAATCAACGCGTGGATGTCATGGAAAGCTGCCTTGTGCTCGTCTTCGTAGAACTCCTTGGCTATAGACGCTTATAGCATGCAATCATGCAGTCTTTTGTTTTTTTGTTTAAACTTTTGGGATCCCATTGGTATATATACAGCTGGCCTGACATTTATAGACGTACAAAAAATGTTGGAGCACACCAAGTCTCTTTTGGACAAACTGCTGATACATAGCGTGTCTGCAGTGCTGTCTTCAGAAGGTTCACAGGTATGCCAGCATCATTAAGGGTTTCTGAAGGTCTCTGATTTGGTGCATTGCGGGAACCAGCACCAATGGCAGATTGCCAAGCAACAATCAAAACCCCCTTTTTTTTGTATGTAGTTCCCTCGTCTCCATGCACATATAGAGGTATGCAGTTCTGCAACTGGGCTGACTTGACTGGATCTTGAAACAACTGGAATGATGGGAACTGTGCTTTGTACCGGTCCCAGAACAACTTCAATGTTTTTTCTGATTGTTCCAGTGAGTAGCCACCCAAAAGGCGGTGAAATTCGTTTGTCCTCACAAGGGTTTTCAGGTATGAAGACGGTCGGAGCCAAGGGAAGTCACTGATATCCCCAACTTGGTTGTAGGAGAGGTCAACCTCATAGCGTAGGCTGTTGGATGCCAAGATCTCTGCAACGCCTTCCTCCTAAGCGATCGGCTTTTGGTGATGAAAAACCAGTATCATGGCACATCTCTTTTATAAGGGGAAAAAGCAGTTGGTTAAAAAGGGCAGAAATATAAACGAATAGAATAGGTGTCCACACTCCCCCATGTAGGAAATGCTGTATGGCTCAAAATGAAGATTAACAATCTGTCCTGAAATTGGCTTGAGTAGCTGACTTGTGGAGATTTACCTTGGAGAGAGCACACAGTACTCGACATTTCTTGTTGGGGTCATCGTTGGAAATCGCTGCCATGTCAGCAACATCAGCCACAGCACTCTGAATGATTTCAGTGCAAGGTACCTGAGCTATGATGCCATATACCCCAAACCTTTGGGAAACCATTTTCTTAAATCCATTGGTGATCATTAATCGAATTGAAGTTCAAAGATTTTGAGGGTATAGGCCTATATAGGCCAATTCCATCCACACAAGGGGGAAAAACACCTTCGTGCCATGTTGCACCACGAGAGTACAGCCACGCCAGACGCCGAGCTTTGCGGGAAGGACCTGGCATTGCATATATAGAAGATTGGGCATCATGTGACAAGCTCACATTTGGGGTATACAATATATATATATATATAATTTTTATATATAAACATTATATATATAATGTACATATATAGCAATCAAGAAAAAGACATCATCCTTGAGAGACACGTTCAACATTTTTATCCTTCGAACGATGCTTGAATGTATACAGACCTGCGGAAACAGATTCCTCTATAGGTCCATCTTTCCAATTTCGAGATTCAGCAGCGTGGATTCACACTGCAGTAAACACCAGTCATTGCATCAATGGTGTTGAACTGAAACCCATGTTCGCACTGATGCAAGTCAAAATCCGTGTATAGACTGAACTGCAAACCTGTGGGCATAGCAGCAGCACCGGAGTAAAGCAACATTGCCATTATTTCAAATGTTTCAACACAACTATTGGGGGTCAAATCCCAATCCTATATATAATGTTTTCAATTGAGCCCAACCAGGCATCTGCCACACAGGTGGGACTCGGTCAGCCCCCTGCCAGCCCTTCAGGCCCGTTTGCTCTTCTTCGAAGCAGGGTCCTTCTTGCTGTTCACAGTCTTAGCCTTAGACTGAGACGTGGTCTCTGGGGCGGTCTTGCCTCTCTTTCGGCGAGGCTTGGTCTCTGGCTCTTGGTCGTCCCCCTCCGTCTGATCTGGTTCTTGTTCGCCCTGCTCCTCCGCCTCCTTCTCCCTAGCACGTTTGGCCTTGGTGATGTCCTTCTTCAGAATCTTGTACTTGATCTCGCTTCCCAAGAAATCTGCACATGGACCCTTGACGTCGTTCTTGACCTTGTCGATCTTTTGTTGGAACCTGAGTGTTGCAGTATGGACTGAAGCATATATCATATATATATATTGATTATTTTAGATCACCTTTGTACATGACTGATCTTTTGTATATATATATATAGGAAAACACATATATATATATATAAATTGAGTGGCTTTACTGCAATTCACGCGCTATGTTTTCCACCCCTTTTGGTATTCCCAGCACACTCAAAAGACATGTATCGAATTGGATGGCATTTCATGCCATTGGTGTTTTCCTATCTGGTGGCCGTTGAAACGACCTAAAAACAAAATACACACAGTACGGGCCATCCATGTCATCACCTCTGTCCTTTGGAACGGTTTCACCTCCAGGACGTTCATTCTTCAGACCAGTTTGGCCTGAGCCAGCGGGTAGCGATGTAGGGATACACGGCATCAAAAACTGAACATTTGATATACGATTCCACCATACATGTTTGAAGTGTGAAGGTATATGTGAAGGTTCAACAATTCTTTCAACCAATGTGCTAATTTTTATGGGAAGTCACCTTGGAAGAGCTGGATCAAGCTCGCTTCAAGGAAAGCAGCAGGTAAAGGTTCACATGATGCCCAAAGAACACACATGGCTTCGAAACGATCTTTGCCAATCTTGTAGCCGTACATTGCATTGTTGAAACGCCATGCTGGGTTGTGTGAGAACCCTATTTTGAAAGTAGCCGGTTTGATCAACTCAATCTTCTTCTTAATAACTCGCTGGCAATGCTGTATGATTTGCCCTGCAGAAGACCCAACTGGTGGTAGGCTGTAACTCAGGCACGGGTCCTTCTCGATTGAAGCAAAAAGATTCTGAGTTCTGGGGAGGGCTAGCACACTAGCATCCAGTTTTTCCATCCAATGGGGCCCTTTGGAGGGACGCACCAAACCAGTAGAAAACCTCTGACACGGTGCGCCGCTCAAAAGCAAAATCCTCCCAGGCTGACCGTCTTCCAGACGTGGGGCACCCAGCACCTGCAGAGGATGAGGCTGGTGGTGTATATACACCATATAAACGGACCCATGGGGTTATACGTAAAAAACCATCCAATTATTATATATCATTTTGATATCTCATTTATCATTGATCAATTGGATATATAAATTATTGGGAGGCAAAAACCAACACGAAGAAACATAATGGGATAAACAATTGTTTGTTGGAAGTCAGGACACCTGCTGCCGGTTGTACTCTATTAGTTCTCGGAGCCAGGAGGAGTCTTCATCATCACCAGGGGACGATGCCATAGGCAAAGTTGAGCGGCAAAGATTTGGGCAAAAAAAACTGAGTTAGGGTATACGATAGCCAGTCCCTAACTCATATCGTGCCAGCTCACAACTGTTTGTAATTACCACCTTTTTTTTGGAAGATAGGTGTGATGGTCTGAAACAAAGCAGCTTCCCCTATGTGGCAGAAAAGAAACTCTCTTAGCTTTGGATCTGCTGGGTTCTTGTCCAGATCATCCATCTTGATCTCCGTTAGATACTTGGCCACGATCTTGAAATTTTCCTCCAACTTCCCCACTATACGACGTAGGTCGCTTGCCATCCTTAAAGATCATTTGATGACCAGGATAGAAAGACAGCTACAAAAAACCAAAGCTGATGCTCCCATATAAGTTGGTGGCAGTGAATCCATTGGGGCATCAACCTGGGTAGTATATATGATGATGTTTTACAACCCCTCAAATGAAAGAACAATAGTTGAATCAACTTTAAGCAAAGGGCAGCGCATAGCGATCCATTGGTGGGGGATTCTCCTTGTCCTCCAACACCGTAATCATCTCATAGATGTTGCTCATCTTAGTGTTCAGCGTGTCCATGAACTTCTCCAGGTCTGGAACGACCTGGCACTGGGCACATGGATCCAGCCAATGTATTTCAGGTTGAGATGTGGGTGGCCATGAGTGTAGGGGATCGGTATAGATTTGTGTGGCACTTGTTTTATTCTTTGTATGATTTTAAGTATATATATATATGTATCATATATGCATATATATATACATGGATATGTAAGTTAAACAAATATATATATATATATACACACTTAAGTTAAGGCCAGGTGTAGATGGATGTAGATAGATGGATGAAAATAAAGTTAGATAGACAAAACGATACAGATAGAATGATTGGCATATATATATATATATAAACAATAGATGGGACAGAAGGCATAGATTTAAAGCAGATAAGAGAGTTAGTATAGAAACATAGATAGAGCAATGGACATATATATATATATAGGTATGGTTATAGATATATAGATTTAGAATGATATAGATAGATACATATATATATATATTGATAAATTGATACGTGTAGATAGACAGATAGATAGATAGGTAGATAGGCAGGTAGGTAGGTATAGGTATAGGTAGATGGCTATAGATGGATGGATGGATGGATGGATGGATGGATGGATGGATGGATGGATGGATGGATGAATTGATGGATAGATAGATATAGACAGGTAGATAGATAGATAGATAGATAGATAGATAGATAGGTAGGTGGATGGATAGATGGATAGATGCATAGATGGATAGATGGATCGATGAATATATATATATAGGCAAATAAATATATATGTATATACCAGTCAACAGATATGTCTGAACCTATATTATTCAGGTGATACATAATATAGACACTGATTTTTTTTTTGGGGTTAAGACACCTTCTGACCCAACTGCTCTGGCGTAGGCTTCGATTCGGGGCTCTCATCTCCGGAGACATCATCAGGTCCCTTTGGCAAACTTGGAGCCGTTGGAGAGACTTTGTCCTTGGGAGCTGGCTATTCCCTTGTATATAAATGGAGTCACCCAAATAATTATCTTTTTGAGTTGATATATGCTTATTTGCATTCAGACTTGGAATTGCAACTGGGGATGGAACACAAAACAAATTTAAGCAACAACTAAGTCCCTGTCGTCCATCTCAGTCGACTCCGTATGTCGGGTCAGGTCTGAGCGCCGACATTTCACAGTGGTTTCATCCTCCACAAAAAACTCGTCAGTGTTTTCATCATATTTCCACTTCCTGAAGGGAACCCATGGTTCAAAACGTATGTTTTTTTTTTGTGGTCATTTCACCTCATAATTATAATTGGGTATACGCATATAGGCTTCCAAAAAATGAAACATATATATACGATTTGAAACTAACTTCATGCATGCGTTTTGTCTCAACCTGGCCGTACGAGCGCGGCCGGAAATCGTCGACAGTAAGAGACGATGGCACGAATGCTTTGCCTTAGGATTGATGCCGCCAAAAGAAAACCATAGAATTGAGATGCATGTGGTGTTCTTCTAAAGGGGATTAGCCAAGCAGCTTTATATACAGTCCTTTGCATGTGTGAAAATTTTGGATTTCAAAACGATTGTTGGCACTGGTGACCCTAAGGATGCTTAAGGACACCTATAGGTTTCATAAGCTATAGTAAAAGTCCCCAAACTGATATAGTATATGGATACATAAAGTCAAACAAGAAACGTCGTGTACTCTCCTGAAGACTTGAGTTTCTCTTCGGTTTGCCATTTCCCTGTGACCTCGTGCTCCTTTGACTGCATGCGCTCACGGACCACCACCACTCTGGTAAGGAATTCCGCCTGTGGCAGTAGGTGCAAAAGGATGCAACACCCCAAACCATGGTCAACTGATCATGGGGTTGTCTAATTACAAACTTTGAACTATATAACCATCAACATTTTTTGACGAAGCCCCTCACCCGAACTTTTCCATTTGCTTCTCTGCCCGTGCCGTGCTTCTTCAACGACTCCAGAAGTGCGATTTCAAGCCACTGTCTGCGCTCTCCCCCGGCTTTGTAGTCCTGTTGGGTCTTGTCGTCCACCCATTTTTTGCCGCTCGTCTTGGTCTCAGTGAGACGTCTGAGTCTCATTCTGAGCGCGTCAGCGCCCAGAACCTGGTTCATGGGAGGTTTTGGAGATTTGGCAGATACATATCTTCTCGACATATATATTCTTATATATATATATGTTCAGTGGGTGTCCTTCCAACGGAAAAATGAACCAAGATAACCAAGTGTATCCATTGGCCAAGTATATACTTATCATATGTGTATATATATATACATAAAGCTCACTGACTTAAGAACCCCAGGATCATTGTTGCAAAATGTTCAACATAAGTATATATACTTATAGGTCAATCATTGTAAATCCATACAGATCAAAATTTAGTGCCCATTGGTGGTGATGCAATGCAATTCTGATTTTTGGGGGCAACCGAGATAGATTTTGAGAAAAGGAACCTTCTGCCCGTCAGGAGTGACAATGGGATCATCATCCTTTTCCTCCTCTTTCTCATCATCCTTCCCCCGAACAGAGGTATTGCTAGCAGTTTCTAAACGGCTCTCCAATTCCTCGATCTTGGCCAATGCCTTTATCAACAAGTCCTTGTCACCCTCAGCCATCTGATTCCCCCCCTCCACTGACTCCGTTGTGGCTGCTGGCAGGGCTGCTGCAGCTTTGGCACTTGAAGGCGGCGATGAGGACGGAGGCCTGCAGCTGCTTGGGGTTGACGATGGCTTTGGGGCCGGTGAAGATTCTGCATGTGAAGCCGTCTTTGGGGTAGATGCCATAGTCAAGAGAATCTCTTGCGTATCCTTGCAAGGGTCCACCCATAGAACCAAAACATGCATTGTTGGGATCAACCTTCTAGAATCCTTTTTTATATATGAATTTGATCAACTCTTTGATCAACCATATATACATTGTTGGTGCCAAACATAATCAAATCCACAAGAACTATATGAAAAAATGTCTAACATCATCGGTATATAAAAATTATATAACCAAGAAACAGCAGGGATGGTTTCGTCTGGCTGACTGGCACTTCCCCCCATAGGAGCCTCGTTTGATTTCAAATCCCAAATGCAAGAAATCTTATACAACCTTTTTTGGTGTTATACTATATAGGATCTCGATTATATAAGGTCCATTGCCACTTATGGAATAAAATTTTCATATATATAAACAACAAGGAACTGAGATCATCGGAGTATTGGGTTTCTCAGCTGCTGGAAGAAGCCCCTCAGCTCGAGTAGCTGATTTCCCTGGCTCCGTCTTGACTGGGACTGGCTGGAAATTAGATTGACGATGCTGCTTTGCCGCCGCAAGAAGCACCCGGGTTTCCTGAAGGGACATATATATATATGGCTATAGTGGGTCTTTCATGGTCTTACATGTCTTAAATGTTCAAAACCACGGATGACGAACCCTCAATTCCCCTCGATCATTATGGATTCACTTTCGTTCCATTTATGTTAATGGGTTCATCACCTGACCTGCAACTTCTTTGTCAACTCATCCCGAGACATGCCCTGGAATAGCTCCATGCCACCAATGCGTGCACAGGCTTTTGCACCAGCAGCAAGGGAGTTGCAGGACAAGGCCCTACTTTCCAAGGTATGGGAAGACATCCCCAAGACAACCCTCTAAAATGGTGAAAATGGCCCAAATGGCTGCGCTGTTTTCCCAAAAATTGACAGGTAGCCTTCTAAATATATTTGAAGCTGCGCGGCAACAATGAGCCATACAACCCACAAACTTTCGCTGTTTTTCGCGCATGGGACCAAAAGAATGTTACTTTTTTGGCAAAAATGCGTATAAGTGGATATATATTTTTTCTTATTTTTTACGCAAATTTTACGTAAAACCGAACGGTTACTGAACGCCTTTTGAACGCCTTTTGAACGCCTTCGAACGAACGGTTTTTAACGGCCTGCCCAGTACGGTTTTTTACGACCCAGGGTACGGGTTTTAACGTCCTAGCGATCGGTTTTTTACGGCCTACTCACACCATGTACGGGCATTAACGGCCTGGAATTGCACCGAACGGTTTGTGTGGCACTTTTTCTGCCTAAAGACCATCAACCACGTTTTTGGCACTAGATTTTGCATTTTAGACGGAGACGGATGAACCCAAAATCATGTTGACGGCAGTGGACGGGGAACTATGCGATGACCAGGTCGAGCAAAAGGACAACAATGACCATTGAGCTGCACGCAGGGCCATTATCAGCTATAGCACTATATGTGGTTTTGGCTTGCAAAACGCATTTTTTCAAAAATTAGTTTCACTTAATCTATATCAAACATATCATCCTGTTTGAACTGCCACCTGGAACCCTATATATGTTTGTGCAATGGGTGCGTGAAGGGCTATATAGGATTGGTCGGGTCCAAAGAAACATCTGCAGGATTAAAACGGAAAACCCAATGGGGATTGATTTGTATATATCCCGTCAAGATCAACCAAACCACTAAACCCTGGCATGAAGGTGGGAAGGCTTCATCGAGAACTGATTGGGTATATGCATGCATGTCACCATGTCATATATTGGAGCTATAACAAAGTCTATCATATGTAAAGTGTTTGTGGATTTATCTCCCATGTAAAGTGTTTCTGGGTTTATCATGGTATCATGAACAATCAATATACCTGTTGTCTATCATATATATATAGACTACAATGAGTGTAGCTGAAGATTGGACAGAGCCAAACATAGTATATGATGGGAATGTGGGTTTTGATGATAATCTGTTGGGGGTGGAAATATCTATACATATCTATACCATATCTCCAGACAACCCATCTATTGTATATATACCACCCTGCTACATTGCATCTGACTGAATTTTCTCAGAGACGCTGCTTGGCGATTCTGCCACCCTTGCAAGGTCTCGCAGGCAGCTCAAAAGCGACTAGCCGAAAGAGGACTGGGGCTGCCCTTCCACTTGGATTGGGTTTAACTGTAAATAGAAGAATTGGCCTCCTAATGTTTGATTGCCTCAGATCTTTGATCCTATGAAGATTTCAACACTGTTCAATTGGAAGGCATTTGAGGGACAATCCAAATTTAGTTTTCCCGTCCTTACCGGAAAGGCAATCAACCATTGGGCAGTAATTGCAGTCTTACATTGTCCAAGGGGACCACTTTCAAATATGGTGATAAATCAATTGAGGGGTCAGCCCCAAACTCTATCCATGACCCCATGAAGACATACGATTTCCTCAGCTTCAGGTGTAAAGGTACTCTACTGCCACAGGCTTCCCCTGTTAGACACAGTTCTTTATGAAACCAATGTCTGCGCGGAATATGGCAACAGTAAGCTTCCGGTATAAGAAGGGGAAAAAATGTAAATGTTGTAAACCCAATGTAAATGTTGTAAATGTTGTAATCATCTGGGGACCTTAGAGGCGCAGTGGGAAAGCCTGCTTCCATTCCCATGGTAATTTCAAAGACGTGTTCGAATACAAATAATGCACCACCTCTTTGAGATGGGCCTCTGACCAATCAGACATCTCGTACTCACGGAGCAGTTCATAAGCAGGGGTGCGAACATGTGTAGTTTCAAGCATCCCCTCACCCTGGGTCTTGAGCTTGGGCATCAGTTTGCATACTTCCACCCCGAAGCGTTGGGGATAAATCCTCAGTTGTTGATTTCTCCACCCGAAAAAATATGGAGCAAATGGGGATGGAAAACAATGATAATCTTAAAATATCTTAAACACATTGAAATATAATGTTGATTTCTTAAGGTGCCCCGTGGTTCAACATCAACTAAGGTTTGGACTGAGTAGATTTGAGCAACTTATTGCCTTTGTAGCCCCGCTTTCCAGATTTTGAAACGGTCCGGTCAACTGGCTTAAGGGTCAACTTCTCTCTGGCCTCTTTGGTAAGTTTCCCTTTGTTCAACTTGTCTGCCCATACATTGTTCGTCAGGCCTAGGTGTCTCTTCGGAGATGGCGATGAGTAGTGGGCCATCCACCAAGCAATGCGAAAAACCTGAATGGGCGATCAGTCAGTCAAACTAAATTCTTTTATTTGTTTCCCACATACATGGAAGGAGAATCCCAAAAGGATCATATATAAATATATATTTATTGAGTTTTCGGGTCCAACGTATATAATTATGTCAAGCCACTTTGGAGACCCGGGAGAGCCACACAAAACGTTTGTAATGGGGCATGCAGCTGCTACCCGGCTGCTCCACCATATAACTTCCGCCTTGAATCAATGTCAGAAGACATAAGAGGCAAGTCCTGCATGAATTGATCAGGTTGACCCACATAGGGACCCTTGGCAGGAAATTGTGAATCTGTATGAACCCCCAATACAACATATATGTATATATATATACATACCCATATAAAGACTTGCACATATCAACCAAATTTTGAAATATATATATATATATCAGTGTGACCAATTGTTTTTCGTTCATGGTTTCTCAGAAAAGATTGGTATATATATATCATGAGACACACATCTAAACATCACGGCCCAAGTAAATAGATTGTGGTGGAAGGCGAAATCTGCAGTGCTCCTTCAGGGCCCCAAAACTTCCCTATAAAATTTACTCGTATATGCATCGGTTTATTCTCAAAAATTATATATGAGTTTTGTGGGTTCCCTTTTTCGTGGTGGTAACCCAAACCGTGTAAACGTGTATATGGCCCCAAAGGGTCCTTGAGGCCATTCCGTTTGCTAGCTGTATGTAAGGCAAGTCCTCCCGGCCTTCTGGCAATAGCATGCTACGTCTAGATGTACCAGCATTGACGTGTACCCAACTGCTACACACCGTAGCAAGTAGAATGAAGAAGTTCTTCGGGCGACATTGAGATATCAGCCATACTGCGATCCTGAAGCCCAAATTTGTGAGAAAGGGTTCAATCAACAAGTTATATATATATATATATATCATTAATTTAAAAGTAAACAAGATTCACCCCACAAAAACAAGTGAACATATTCATTCAAGTAAGCAAACTTCATTGGATACACTTTTGCAAACAAACGACCCAAACCCACAAGGAGTCATGAAGTCAAACGGGTTGGTCCGTCCCTCGTGCGCAAGGTTCTTCATGTACTCTATGTCAATTGCTGTAGAAGGGTAGGCTGCTCCCTTCACCTCCTCAAACACCCTCGCAGCACCAGCGAAAAATTCGCAGTACTCCAGCTCCTGTCAAAGGCATAGGTCGGTTGTTATATCAAAAGGGGTCACAGTACCATCATCATTTCAATCCTTTATATACACTGGTTGGGGTGTACATGTAGCACAAATAAAAACTGTTTCCCAAACATGTCAACAGGGCCACTGGCAATGTGGGATATGGTCCTGGGAAAGAGGAGGTAGATTGCCAGTGAAATGAACCAGCACCACCACATATATCAGCGTCTCGACAGGGGCATGCAACGGGAGAGTAAAAAGTATATACAACAGCCACAATTGAACATATATGCAAAGACATTCAAACCAAACATGTTTTGTCAGCAAAAATTTCATAACTGGGAAGCCTTGGGAGCTTGATACATCATCAGCGACTTCACCACGTGGTCGAGATCCCACGTCATGGCTCTCTCTCTCTCTCTACAAATTTCCTTGACCCCAGCGCCTATACATTGTATATATATATGTATACTTAACTATATACTTAAATCATGACACACAGGAAATCCTTTGGCAGAACATGTATGCAGAAGATTTTCACATAGTTGGTGTTCGAAGCACGGAATGCATCAAATGCTCTGAGAAAAAACATGTACATATACACATATCATGATGCATAGCACTTGCATGCGCGCAAAGAGGGACACATAGTCAACTGTTCCCCCCAATCACACATATACTCTCTGTCTCTCTCTTTAAATATGATATTATATATATGCATATATATATGTACATATTGCCTTTTCAAAAACCGTTTGGCACCCAACAAGGCCAGGAAGACCAATGAAGTAGCTATCATCCACTGCACTCCGCAGCGCAGCAGTCCACTTCCGTTTCCGCGCCATAAGAGGCCTGCCACGAAAGTGAAAGAGAAAACAATTGACATATCCCAATGAAACGGGGTGGATATCAATATTCCTGTAAAGTGGAAGGTTCAGTTGCTATAATGTGTATTTGCTTGAACCTTACATTGTTTATTCAAACACATAGCGATCACCAATAACGAAATGGAATGTTTATATATATACACATTACTTGTACAAACACTCAAGGTTCCATTTTTCCCGAACTGCTTCTCCCCAGTTGTTCCGGTGCCAACATGCCAGTGGCAGCACTATTTGCTGCAAAGGCAAATTGGTAAACAGCATCCTAGATGAAATTCAATGTGCTCTGATGAGCGTATACAAGAAAATATTGCAAGCATTCAGCGAAGAACCGAACCACTGGAGCAGCTTGTATGGCTCCACATGCGTCGGCAAGAAATGCCAGACATCCCGCAACTTCTGTGTGTGTGAACAGCGTGCGCACGAAACCTCCAGCCTACGAACTGCATGAACACCAAAATGAACTATGTTACATTTAGAGACAAGTCTGTTCCCATAGAAGAGTTGGTGAATCCCTCATATATGCATATATATTTCATACACGCATTGGTAAAAACATATATACATATACTGCTCGGTTTGCTGGAGATTCTATGCGTAAAGATATGCCCTGTTGACAGCTCAGCTGATTCACTCATCTCCCAAAGAAGCCACTTCGCTCAAAGCTGCCGACAACGTGGCTTTCAGGAGCTTGTCGTACTGCTGCATGGTCTCATGCTTGGGTCTCAGATACCATTCTTCGGTGGCGTTGTCCCAAAGCTTTTCAACCTCGTTTCGGCGAGCGGGATATGAAAATGTTGGAAATTGGTTTGAGCGACTGATAAAAGGTGTAGGTCTTTGATCAAGAAACTGTATATATATATATCACAAGAACCCTTTTGTATAGTGTACTCGTACATATACTCACACGCTGAAGTGAGAAGTCAAGAAACCCACTTGTTCGCCAAGATCAAATTGCACTGAGTACAGTATCCAGCACCAAAGTGAGTGGTGTGCTTCCAATCTTTCTTTTTCACAGGCTTTGTCTGACCAGCTGCACGCTCATACCCTTCTATGTATTCTGGGTTCAGCAGCACCCCAACACCATTGGTTTTCCAGTAAACACTCCAACTCACAGCCTCGATTGCAGGCATGGTGAACTCATGGCATTCATAAGTGCAGTTGGCATGTCCACCACACTGTTGCAACACACCCACCAAGTTGTTTTTGAGATCAGCGTCAATGGGGGCCGGCGTTGCAGGGGCCAGCTTGGGGTGCTTGCTTTTCTTTTCGGGCATTGGCTGTTGGGCAGCTGCCTGGCGCTTGCTTGTCTTGGCCTGCGTCTTTCGATTGGATTCACTTTTGGCCGGGGTGGCCTTCTTGCTTTTGGCCACTGTGGCCGTCTTGCTTCTCTTGTTGCTTTCCACTGCTGTGGAATCATGTTCCTCCGGTTCCTTTGGCTCGGTGATCTTGCTCCGAGAATTCATTTTTTTCAATGTTTGATACCTCTTGTTTTTGGCATGATTCTTTTTAACACCTGATGTTTTCTTTCCGCCCTTGGATTCATTTGATTTCTTGCCATTTTTCCCTTGCCCTTTGCCCTTTCCGGTACCTTTTCCTTTGCCTCTGCCCTTGCCCTTAGCAGCAGCACGTTCCTCCTTGATCTTCTGCTTCACGGTAAACTGGGCACGTCGGGTCACCGTTGGATGGCTTGGGACATCAGGGTGTTGTCCATTTTCCTCAGGAGCGACCTGGAGGGGACCAATGACGATGGAGGAAACATCATCGTGTATAACCCTGGATGCGTCTTGTTTATATCGAATAAATATATAATTGTCGTTCTTTGCCCCAGTGTTGAACAATTTGACCAAAAACTCTGCACATGGAAAAATAATGTTGGACCACCCTACCTCTTTGCAGTGGCCAGCTTCTACCATTTCACCCGATGTTTCAACTGAAAGCGCTTCCTGCTGGGGGACTTCAGCTAGATCTTCTCTGGCAAGCATGCTTTTCATCTCATGTGTGTTGATGAATTCTTCGGAAGGCATCACAAGTTGGGTCTCGAGTTGGTCAGTACCGAATGGCAAAGACTCAGTCACATAGGTTGCACTGTCACCTGCAACCCACAAAAATCCCTGAAAGTATTTCCCCTTTTCACTTTGAAAAAACACACGGGTATATGATCTTGTATATGTAAATGCATGGGGTGCCTAGAGAGCCAAGTTGGTTAAATTATTATATATAGAACTATATATACAGTTGACCTACGTATATATACACAGTATATATATATATATATGAAAAAAGTTAATGATGGTTTATGGATGTCTATACAAAACATGATATAGAACTTTAAAAACAGGGAGGGTTATGAACCAGTGTAAACCAACGTGGAACTGGGGAGGGACTCTTTGTAAATATCTATATATTTATTTACCAGGTATATATTATATATGTACCCCATTTAAAACATGTCATTTGCCACCAGACCCACCTGCACTGGCTGCTTGGAGAGGCAAATCCTGCTGGTAGAGAACTGTAGCAACGTCGACATCATCCAAGGACCTTGGATTTCGGCGCCGGTGTGAGATGGAAGTTTTGTGGGAGTTCAGATTTTAAAGTTGTTTTGACATTTACGAACACATTTGTTCATGTCGGCCCTCCAAATAGACCATTCCAAAAAACAAGGAGCTGGGTTTTGACCTGGGCAATCAGCGACGACTGTTCAGAAGCTTTGATGGATCCTGAATTTTGTATATGCATGTACCGGTATACCAGTATAAGTTCTATGGCGATATATGTAAAATTCATATGCTTGCAACTCATTATCACCATGCGACTCTTCCAGCTGCATCATCATATCTTCCAGCTTGTGGCGCAGCGCACTTGTTGTAGCAAGATCATCATCTTCGCTGTCGTCGTCCGACACGTCAATCAACGTATTCTCCTGTAGGAGGCCAAGAAGCCATGCACAAACATCAATGTCAAAATTTGCTCACAAGAAACCATTAAAACATCGTTTTGATCATGTGTATCAACTGTATATATATGGGGATTCCTAAAATGGGGGTACCCCAAAACCATGGGTTTCAATATTTTGGATGATAGGATGTAGTCCCATTTTAGGAAACCCATACATATATATATATATATATATGTATATAATATGTGTTGATGTTGACCCCAATCCTCAGACGATAAGCCACGATCTTCAGATGGCTCATGAGGAATGGGGGGGGCAGCAGGTTTTGAATGTGGGTTGGCCACTGGCCGCAAAACCCCATGGTTATCCAAGACTGCCACATTGGGTGTCCCTTCCAACTCTCGTTTCTTCGGTAGCCGGGGAAGCCACACAGCAGCTTTCATATCTTTCAATGTCAATTGACCTTTCCCAGCTTGGGGGTTCCTTTCACCTTCATTCATCCCCAACGATGTGAGGGCAGCTGAAATCTCATCTACCATAGCCTCAAGTTCCTTCTCAGAAGATCCCCCAGAAACGGCATGTGAAGGTTTTTCTGCTAATTGGATGGGTTCAGCAGGGCCAGGCAATGGGATCTCAGTCGGAGGTGGCAGGTGCGGTGCCACATTGGCCGGTGACACCGTAGGAGGAGGAGCGATAGCCTCGACAGGCATCGTTTCCATCAGAGCATGTTTGCCCAAAGGATAAAACCTATCGAGCTATATTGAATTGCAACGTTGATCAATATCGATGTTATATAGGGGTTCAAACAGATCTGCTTCATCACTTCAGGGGATACACGCGTGTACTATATATATATATCCATGATATACACAGACTTTCTGGGTGCTCAAAAGCATTTACATCATCACTTCAGGGAAAAACTTATTTGAATTTAAGGAGGCATAGGTCTTTTATAACAGCATGTGTGGCCAGTGTACCTATAGCAAAAGTGCAATGCAGTGCAGCCCAGCAGCCGAATCATCGTCACCAGGAACCTCAGCGCCAAGATCTTTGCAAAGACTCAGCAGGACTGGGTCCTGCGGTAGGAGCAGGTGGAATCAGGGAATGAATATAAAATCAACCAGATATGACCAAGGGAAGACCAAGAGAGATAGAGATAGAGAGCTATATATATATTCCCGACTTCATATATACAAATTGAGCATATATAGTGCAATTAAAATTATACTGTATCTAAAATCTCCCCATTCAAATGCATTTTTCATGATACGCACCCCCTTGGTCCTTGGGAAGGGATGGTCTGTAGAGTAACTTCTTCGCTACCCCGCACAACCTTCGGATGGCCCAACCTTCCTGGTAGATTCGGTCACCCCTCTTGGTACCAAGGTTGACCTTGCTGCGTTCAAACAGATACGTAACCTGCTGTAGCAGCCGGTCTAAGTTGGGGAGAGTCCTGTCGTTGGCAGCCATCATCTTGAGCAACGGCGAAACCACAAAGTGGTTCAATTTCAGAGACGGGATTGATTTCTCTACGTATGAATCGGTAGCCACATGCTTCTCTTGGTCATAATTCATGTTCAAATTATGCCCCCCTCGTAGTCTTTCACGGACTAGCGGGCAATTATCCCATGTCACTGCCAACTCATCCATAGGCCAATTTCCAACCCTGTCTTTGCACCCTTCATCTCCATCTCCATTGGCATGGTTGGGAGAGCTGCCGGAACTGCTCGAACTATTCCCTGAATTCCTTGTCCTCGCTACCATGCCTGCAGCAACGATCCTTTGAGGGGCTTGGGCCTTTTCTGAAATGCTGCGGTTCAGGAGCTGGGCACTGGAGAATGTGAGTGTGACAGTGCGAGCTATAGGTGCACTTGGGTTGCTGTGGAAGTGCCACCAATTCAATTTGGACATAAAAAACAAATAACTTGCCACATACCAAATTGAACACGGTTGACTTTCCACAGTTTTTGAATATATATATATATATATACATAAAATGACATAAAATGAACCATTAAGATCCTTTCCCATGCAGCAGCCCTTTGCCGTGCCTGGAGTGTCCGGTGTTGCCAAAAGGCAGCCATAGACCATTGGCAAAGAATCGGAGTGAGTTTATATAAAGATATATACGCGCACATTGTATGTTTTTGTTGATTGTTCATATCTTAATGAGTGTAAAAATAGATGAACTATTATATATTTTTATAGGGGTCATCACACCCCAGTGTCTTTGTCATCATCGCTGAGTGCTTGTTGCAAGCAGTTCTCACACGGCCACATTTCACCGTGTCCATGGGCAAAAAGGCTGAGAGGCACTGGGCTGAAGAAGGAGGGTGAGAGTGCCATAGCATTGGGAAATGCCATAATTAGTTGCAGAACCAATGGGTTGAATTCATTGTAAGATGCATAATTAGGTCCAAAACCAATGGGTTAAACCGATGGAATATACATAATTAGTTGCTGAAACCAGTGGGTTGAATTGATTCAAACATACATAAATAGTTGCAAAACTATGGTGTTTTTATATAGCATTGGGCATTGCCATATATATGATATATACATATATATATATATACATATATATAGTGTAAGAATCGAACGGTTCTTCGAACGGCTGTTTTTGTCCTGGACAGTGATTATAGACCAACATATCTAAAGAGCTATCATTTTGAATCTGGACAGTCATTAGTATCCAAAGGGTTTACCAGGTAGTTATGTTAGTTTACCAGAGGGTATGATTTGGCTTCTCACTCGTAATCTTTTGGCAGTCATGCTTCGGAATTGAGGTGTTTTTTTGTCCAAATGATCTCAGGCTACGTCCTGTTTTAACGGGCCAAGTTGAGTATCACGAAACTGGATGTTTTACTACCTTTGAACGTCAACGACTATACAGTGGCCAAAAATCTACGAAGATGAAGATGATGATGATGATGATGATGATGCTGCTGCTGCTGCTGTTGTTTTTTTGATAAGTGTTGATCCTTCCCAGGCCGTGAAACTCTGCCGCTCCTGAAACTTTGAAACTTTCGCCCTGCCAATTGCTGCGGCCTGGCTCAGCTTATCGTGCGCCATGGCACAGCAAGTGCTTGAGCTGCTGGCACGAGTGCCCGAGCGGGCCGTCGAGCTCTGGAATGGAAGTTCTGGTCTTTGGGTCCCTTGAAGCATGGAGAGGGTGTGTTGACCCCAAGAGATACCAAACAAGGCACTGTTACTACGGAAATGACATAACATGACAAACACATCAAAAAACACATCACAATCACATCACAATCATATGGATTTGCTGAAGGTCAAGTTGTGGACATTCTCATTGCTCAATCCACCGGTTGTGGACATTCCTGGGAAGATGTTGATTGCTTGGGCCTCTTCGCTTGGGAGTTGGTCAAGAGATAGGCAGTTCAAGCACATTCATCATGGATTCGTGGATATTTTAAGGGGTTGAGAACCTATATGACATCCATATTAACATCCTATGACCGGAATCTCAGCTGGTAATTTGCTGGACTAGACTAGACTGCAAGGATGAGGTATCCGATATTATGCAGTGCGTTGCCAAGGTGCTCAGGACCACTTTGTACTCAAGAAAAAGATGTGGCTCCTGCCAAGTTCTTTCACAGGAAATTCTTGGTTTTCTCCCATTGGTTGGGGCTTCAGTGCAATGGTTTCCTGTACTCTTCCTCCCAACAAAACCTCATGACCAATGCAGAACATTCTATTGTCAAGATGTGCACATTGGCAGGGTTGCTCCACTCAATGGGTACATCGTTCCCACTAAGAGGGGTAAATAGGTCATTTTGCCTCTTCATCTAGCAGTTTTTATCGCGCAATCAAGGTATTGAGAGCTACCCTGACGGGGGAGTATTGTGGTAAATGGTAAACCCAATAATAACTCATAGAGGGCTATTTATTTTTGGATTGTTTTTCGCGGCAGGTTTTGTTTTTTTGGGGGGGTTCCTGGTTCTATGCTTTCCTGTTTCTCTGATTTTCTGCTTCTCTGCTTTTCTGCTTCTTTGCTTTTCTGCTTCTCTGCTTTTCCTAGTTCTTTGCTTTTCTGCTTCTCTTCTTTTTGCTTTCCCTGCTTCTCTGCTTGTCCTGCTTCTCTGCTTTTCTGCTTTTTGCTTTTCCTGCTTCTTTGCTTTTCTGCTTCTCTGTTTTCCCTGCTTCTTTGCTTTTGTACTTCTGTGCCTTTCTACTTCTACTATTCTACTTTTCTTTTCTTAAGTCATGTGTTTTTGCTGCTCTACTTCCTGCTCCTTTGCTTCTTTGCTTCCTGTCTTTACTGTCTCTTTGTTTTTCATTTTCTTTTGCTTTATTCTGTTCTGTTTGTATCCTAAATGAAACCCTAGAGAGACCCTAGGTGAAACCCAAAGAAACCATAAAGAAATCCTGATAAGAAACTCTACATGAAAACCTAAATCAACCCTAAAGAAACCATGAATGAACCTTGAAGAAACCATAAATTAATCCTAAAGAAATCATAAATGACACCCTAAATTGACACCCTAAATGAAACCCTAAATGAAACCCTAAAGAAACCCTAAACGAAACCTAAAGAGACCCTAAATGACACCCTAAATGAAACCCTAAAGAAACCCTAAACGAAACCTAAAGAGACCCTAAATGACACCCTAAATGAAACCCTAAAGGAACCCTAAAGGAACCCACTTGAACTTTTAGACATCGTGAAAACAAAATCTGATAAGAAACCCTGGAATGAAACCCTAAAGAAAGCTTAACTGAACTCCTGAATGAAACCCTAAATTGAAACCCTAACGGAACCCTAAGGAACCCACTTGAACGTTTAGAACTCCTGATAAGAAATCCTGATAAGAGACCCTACATGAAACCGGGAGAAAAACTAAATGAAACTCTAAAGAAACCCGAACCCGAAAGAAACCCTAAATGAAACCCTAACGAAACCCTAAATGAAACCCTAAATGAAACCCCAAATGATGCCCTTAATAAAACCCTAAATGAAACCCTAAATGAAACCTTAAATGAAACCCTAAATGAAAGCCTAAAGAACCCTCAAGAGACCCACATGAACATTTGAAGCACCAAAATGTAGCAAATACCATGTAAATGAGAGGTTGAAATGCCAAAAATGACAAATACCATGCAAAATGAAAGGCAAGCATGGCCAAATGTAGCAAATACCATGCAAAATGCAAAGTGACCATGCCAAAATGTAGCGAATACCATGCAAAAACGACAGGTTCTAGTTCCAAACTGCTGCAAATACAAGGCAAATGGTACCGGGAAAGAAAACCAAAAAAAATCCAAAACCTGAGGCAAAAAAAAAACAAAAACTATTCTACACACTTAACCCCAATACTACCATCATTGGGTGGTATAAACCATCCCCAAATGGCAAGTTTATAGTATTGGGTGCAGGATGGTGCCCCCCAGTTATAAGTTGGTTTATAAACCCCATTAACTATAGTTATATCTTCCATAAACCATAGTTATGGGAGTTATAAACCAACTTATCTAACTATGGGGCACCACCTTGTGTACCATATTAGTAATTATCCTGGACACATTGGCCACAGGCTGGGGCTCTGGTGGTTTTGGCCACCCTGCTGGTTTCTTTGACCTGTGCCTCTGCGTAAAAGAACTTGGAAATATGTCGTTTGCCTTGGCCGTTTCATGATGTGGTCATAGCGAGGTCCCCAGGAAAGAAATTGGGATTTCACCATGGAAAAGGGTGATATATATATATATATACACATATATATATACATATATATATGGGGATTTCATAGGGATGTAACCAACAAATAGAGTGATGCAATGGGATTTAGCATCCGCTTTGAATGTGGAGTGCTGAAAACAAGAATTTAGTTTGATGATTTTGCCAGCTATCAAGCTTCATTTCGTTTGTTCGAAACATTTCCCAGCTAGCCACGTTTGACTCCTGGAGGGTGATTTCCTATACTTATGTGGCTTATGTGCCCATGGAGCTGTGCTGTTCTACCGGACTATAGGGTTTAAGCTAAGAAATATTGGAGATATGATTTGGAAACCAAGTCACACAATGACAGGATGTAGCAAGCTGCAATTGGGAGATATTCAAACAATGCCCAACATGCTGGATTGGCACATGGTTTTGTTCTAGGTTCCATCCCTACTGTGGAAGATCATTTCATCTCTACCAACGTATTATTTTGTGTGTGGATGGGCTGAAAGCGCGAACCGGCTGTAAAACCGCCGAAGGTTGAATTACACCTCAAGCGCTTAGATGCTATTGTAGCATGTTTTCGAAATACCCTCAGGTCAGCAAACAGTGCAAGAGAGAATTTGTTGCCATTCCCCAGTTGTACCTTGTTCAATGGCTAGGGGCTACGGCTACGGCGGCATCAACACCATAAATTCCAGCTATGTTGATGCGAATGCAAGGAGATTCCACGGGTTGTGACCATTTTTGACCCATATGTACAATGTGGCCCCCCCAGTGATGTTAGTTGGTTTATAAGCCCCAGTAACTATAGTTATAAGTACCATAAACCATAGTTATCGGAGCTATAAACCAACTTAGCTATCTAGGGGGCCTCACATTGTAACTATCATTAACTATCTATTTGCCCCTCAGAGGATGATTTCAGATAGCAGGTACGCCTAGGTTTTGGTCGTCCACTGTCCCACTTAGAGGTTGTTATTATATATAGTAATCCCCTAGAAGATAGAAAGTAATTTAGTTGCATTTTACAGTACTTTTTCTATATTTTTAGTCGTGATATATTTCAACCTTACATCTACATGCTAATTCGAGAACCCAATTTTGAGGCATAGGCCAGAATCCAAACGACCTATCTATTCCAAGATCTTGAAGTACTCACACTTGCAGAATATAGCAAGACAAAACACACGGATTATCCTATATATATATATATATGCTGCTGAAGTTTTTTTTTCGGACAAATTTTAAATCATTTTGGAGTCTCCATTTTATGAAATCGCCACTCCAACTCTCCGTGTATGGATTATCCGCAAAATTACTCAAATGTAGGTAAATACACCATGTATGGGACATATGCGCAATATCAACGCATACATTTCAAGCCGGATCTGCCAACGTGACACGGGCCGCCTCAAGCGCCAACGTGTCGAAGGAGAAGTGGTGATTAATTCTGATTAATGGTGTATAAACCACCAACAATCACCAACAAGGGCTTATTACCCATAGGATCCATGTATGGTATATATGCTAACATTGGAGGTATATTGATGGTAAATGTTACCATATATAGCATACATGGATCCTATGGGTTATGAGTGCTGGTTAATCAGGGCTTGTAAACCACCAACAATCACTACTCAGGTCTTATTAACGATGATCTTTGCGGGGTTTGCATCTACCATGAAAAAGGGATCATGGCTGGTTTGCAAATGACAGACGTGAACACAACATTTAAGTTGCTTTCAAAGGCGTTTTTTTGTCGATTTATTCCCTTATTTGATATATTTAAGATGACCTAATTACCTAAGTACAATGTTCCGGTACAACTTCATGCTGGCAGCCGTGTTTTGTTAAGCGCAAAATTCCTTCACCAAAAAGTTTCGTGGTGAATTCGGTGGGTTTGTTTGGACAAAACACAACCCGTCGACCTGTGTTTTGCAGCTGGCCAACCTGTGTTGGGTCAGCACATAAGGACAGTGGTAGCGGCTACAGTTTGTGAGAGCTACTAACCTGTGATTAGTTGACTTGGTTGAAGCCTCGAAAAATTGATATTCCATGTCTACCAACCTAATCTATAGCAAATCTATACCAAATCTGGTTGGTGGTTTGGAACATGTGGATTATTTTTTCCATATATTGGGTATAAGAACCCCAACTGACTTTCATATTATTCAGAGGGGTAGGTATACCACCAACCAGTAGTATATGGTCTGATCAAGATGCATGAACCTGTTGTCTGTGAGTGTTTATATTTGTGTTTTCTAGGTGTATGGCGCTGGACCGTTTTTGCGTTTGCCATTTTTTCATCCTTCAGAACATACTGATCTTCAGATCTTCAGGAAGTCGCATAGTACCTCAGTGTTAGCCTTTAAGGTTGGCAGCGGTTAGCAATGGTCTTCGTGGAGTATTCATGTGTTGGCATTGACAGGTTTGAGGTGAGTTTCATCCAGATACTGAACAAAAAGACACAGTTTGCCTTTGGTCCGGTCCCTTTGACTATCATGTTCCGTAGTTATAGGGGTTTTATGGGGTTTTATTCCAACTTGTTGGGGGTTATAACCATGTTTTTAGCCATAAAAGTAAGCTCCAACATGTCAACCTGTTCGTGCCCTTGAAAGCTTTTTCAAGCCCATCAGTCAGGGGAGAAGAAGTGACCAAGTCCATCTCTTCTGAGACGGTCTCGACAGCCACAGGCCGGGCCTGACGGGCCCGTTATGGCGGTTTCAAACTTTTTTCCAAGGCAACTATGAACTATGGAGGTAATAATTGCCAGAACGGGAGAAGCAACTCCTTCCAACTGATCCCTTGAAAGTTATAAGTTGGTTTGTGACTCGACCTATAGTAGATGTATCCATATCCATCAAACTAACTTCTCACAGTTTAATTACCAGTAGCATTTGTTGATTGGATTGATTCAATCCCTCGATTCCAAATATGAAACCAGCAATGGTAGTTGACCAAATGGTTAGATGTGAATAATTCTACTGGTTAAACCAGTTACATCACTATTTTACAAGTAACATCAACATTCAATGTATGTCATATTTTAAAGTTTACTGACTGGGATCTTCATTCGCAAATGTAACATCTGGGATTCCATCATATTTAATCATTATATGTCTTACTCCCAGTTAAACCACTTTCTCGTGCACCACAGATGTTGAGTATATCTATATGTGTGACATATTTAAGTTCCTCAACATCCCTTCACACATATTTAAGTCAAATATATACTAATAACTAGTAACTAGTATATATATATGCACTTAAACAATACCCATAGGATCCATGGTGCTGGTATATATGCTAACATTGGGGGTATATTGATGGGATCCATGTTACCATATATAGCAGCACCATGGATCCTATGGGATATGGTGGTTCCTATGTTTCTTAAAGTCCCGTATAGTTCTTGAACTCATCACAGAAAAGGGGTCGTTTGTTGTTTGTTGAGGCTCGACGGAAAGCCCGAGGAGTCCAGGGAGCTCTTGCGAGGACGGAAAATCCAGAAATTCCTTGAACGAAATATGTTGGCTAAATATGTTTAAATAGGATTTTCCATTATAAAACAATACATTCACAAGATGTTACATGATGTTACCCTTAACCATCATTATGTAATTAACCATAATTCATACATTTTCTTACAATGTGGCCACCCCCCCAGTGATGTTAGTTGGTTTATAAGCCCCAGTAACTATAGTTATTTGCGTACCATAAACCATAGTGAAATTGGAGCTATGTTCACCAACTTAGCTATCGTTTGGGGGCCTCACATTGTAAATATGTTTAAATGAAGTTTTATAGCTGGGAAAATTATGGCGTACTAAATATTGCTTGAATATGATATCAGGAGTGACATCAATTTTGTACTTACCAGACATTACTACAATGTGAGGCCCCCAAACGATAGCTAAGTTGGTGAACATAACTCCAATTTCACTATGGTTTATGTTACGCAAATAACTAACCGTTCCTGGGGCGAATCTAAACCAACTTATAACTGGGGGGCCTCACATTGTAGCTGAGAAAATTATGGCTTGCTAAATGTTGCTTGAATATGTCACAAAAAATGTCGTTGATCATTTGAGGATCGATCAAAACTTATGACAGCTGTCATATTTTAGGAGAGGTGAGCCAAAAAAAGGGGGGGTTAATTTACAGTAGTATTGTGCGATCCTTCGTTCAGAATTCCAGGCACCGCCGCAGCTATTTCGGATGTTTTTGGTAATTTCGGAATGTGCCATTTAGTTGGGGAACGACCCTTTGAACGACATCCAGAACGACATTGGAACGACCTCCTAAATATACGTATATAAGTTACATATATATATATATATATTTATACAGGTCTAGATACATTTAAAACAAATCAGCAGCCAAATTACACCCGTAACCACCCTAAATGCATTTTTGGGGGCTGGTAAATTGCATTTGGCACGGTCTTTGTAATCTCTGCAACGAGACCCTAGCCTGAGCGGTTTCCCTCTAGAACCATGTCTTTACGAGCCCAAGACTCTTCCCGGTGCTCTGCCACCAATGCACGTGCACAAAAAATGTTTGGAGATAGGGCCATTTTATAAGGAATACATCCTGGGCGCACCTAAGAAGTGCATGTCCACTAGGAACACAGAGGACCCTACCCGTTCCGGGGAATTCAGACAGGGATCTGATTTTCAGATTGTATAATTACTGTGTATTCAAGGGTCATTATTTAGCCATTTTTTTCGGTTCCCAAACGACCTCAGAACGACCTCTGAACGACCACTGAACGACATCAGGATTTCAGTCAGAATGACCAATTGCCCACAAAAACCCGGAGACCGCAGACCATTCATACCATGTGCGCTGCGTTCCAAGTCATTGTTGACCTGATAGCAATCTGTTCCATAGATGGGTTAATTTTCCCAGTAACACTGTCAAACTTTTCTGCCCTGTTTCAAAATGACCCCGCCATGGCATTGTGAAAAAGATGCTGTTCCCTGAAAAAGAAACTGCTGAACGAAACTTTCTCTACGGATATGATGTAGCTGAAAGCAGCTCTGATGTAGATGCAACAAGCTCTAGTTCAAACAGTTCAGAATCAAGCGCCAAGACATAAATATGAAGACCGCCGCTTGGAAATCACATGATTTGCTTTTGGGATCAGGATTTACATACAGGTTTTTTTTCAACTCAGGTGAACTTCCATAAAATCATGTTATTTTGCTAATTTATATGCTTGGGTACCAGGGTTTGACTAGTTTTGACCCATTTTTTTCTCAAATCCATAGGAACTCAAGGGAAGCCGATTTTTTCTGAGGGTAAAGACCATGGTTTCCGAAAGGCATTTTCCCTTACCCATAAGATCCATGTATGGTATATATGCTAACATTCGGGGTATATTGATGGTAAATGTTACCATATATAGCATACATGGATCCTATGGGTTAAGCGAAGCCATTGATCAATAGTTTCCAGTGTATTCCCATTTCTGTAGCAACCCGTATGGCCATGGGTCAATTTTTTTCACACGCCCATATTGATCCATATTGGGCAAATGGACCCGAGCTGAAAGCCTGTGTCAACCCTGGATTCTGAAATGTTCCAATTCTCGGCCCAGATGTTCCTGAAACATATGGGTTTAGTGAGCTTGAAAAAATCAGAGTAGCATCCAACAACCATTGACGAGGCCTTATTCGTTGCTTTTTTGGAACCAACAACTAAATACCCTTTGGCAATCCAATCTGGCTGAGAAATCAATCATCTATAGATGGCCCCATGGATCTAGCCATGGTTACCTTCTCTGAGGGGCCCATGTATAAAAGGGACGTTGGGACGTATAGGGTTTGGTGACCGGCCATGTTTGTCAGTATTTGAAGCATATGTTGAACATAATGATGAGTGGATGTTTACGATGAACCCGGCCATGTTTACTTTTGTAATTCCATGATCAACATTTTGGAACAGATATTGAAACATATGATTGAATTATATAGGACCTAGGACGGATCGATGACAATTTCGAACAGAATTGGGGGTTTCCTAAGCCATGGGGGTACCCCAAAAATTCTGGAGGGTTTATTTCATCGGAAACCGTGGATGATTTGGGGGTACCCGCATTCATACCCTGTGGATCCCTATGGATCGATGGCGTCTAAGAAAGTACGGTGGTTCACCCCCAAAACGTCACCATACCCCAGTCGTACTTCTGTTCAGAAGGCATGGCTGGATCCATAGGGATACCCATTTTTATAGGATTTTCCATTATAAAACAATACATTCACAAGATGTTACATGATGTTACCCTTAACCATCATCATTATATAATTAACCATAATTCATACATTTTCTTACAATGTGGCCCCCCCCAGTTATAAGTTGGTTTAGGTTCGCCCCAGTAACTATAGTTACAAGTACCATAAACAATAGTTATTGGAGTTATAAACCAACTTAGCTATCTTGGGGGCCTCACATTGTACGAATGATGCAAGATATGGATTGGATCGGTCCAAAATTTCTACGCAGGCATCGGTGTCTTGCTGGCCGTTCAAGGTGCCACATGGGGAGCCAAAAAAAAATGAAGGGCTTTCACCTGCAGAGATGGTAACATGGGGGTTCACCTGCAAAAATGAATGGGGTTTCACATGGTTTCACCATTTTCACCTGGAGTTTGAATGAGTTTGAATGAGTTGAACATGGTTCAAATGGTTCAACAGTTGCCTTTTCTTTGCAGCAAACATGCAGTTTCAACCGTCAAAAGGGTCAACACAAAGGGGTGGTGCCAGCCAAAATGAAGCAGGCTGGGGTTTGGATGGAGACGTTCAGTTTGCACAATTTGTACCGAGTTATATCGATTTCACGACAACATCATCAAGAAATCCGGTGTGTGATTGATTTTATTTCGAGTGATATCGTTTCAAAAAGCAGGCATTCTTTGTGGTTCGATGAGACACAGCAAAGCTCTCTACAGCCACGATTTATTTCAAGTCGAAGATGAATACGAAATAATTAATGCGAATGCCCTCTGGTAAACTAACAGTTTGCTATGGACAATCACCATGGATAGTGGGTTTTCCCATGAATAGCATGGTGTTTTTCCATAGTTTTTTGTTGACGTTTACCAGAGGGTACATACAAATTCAACACCATGACGTTTGGGGTTTTGTGATCTACTTGGCCTATCATTCCCTTCGGATCCCGAATCTGAAGGCACGATATGACCAGGGTGATGGTTAAAGTACTTGGACCATGACTGGTTGGTGGTTTCAAACATTTTTTATTTTTTCCATATATTGGGAACAATAATCCCATTTGACTAATATTTTTCAGAGGGGTTGAAACCACCAACCAGATGATGATTGCCAATCCCACCAGATGTCCATGAAAAAGCCAGTTTGTGAGCCCTCTGGTAAACGTTTACAAAAAAAAAACCATGGAAAAACATCACCTAATGTTGGTAAATCGACGATCTAAATTGCTATTTTCAATACCCATAGGATCCATGTATGGTATATATGCTAACATTTGGGGTATATTGATGGTAAATGTTACCATATATAGCAGCACCATGGATCCTATGGGATAGAAAATTGTTGAATAGCCAAAATCCCCGCCATTCCAGGACCTGTTTGCGCCTTGCATGGGCGTCAGCAGCGCTCCTTGGCACTTGATGTTGCCGTCGATGATTGGGAATCCCTCGAACAAAATGATGGGGAAAACTGGGGAAACGATGTTTTTGATCATGGGAATGTCGGACTGACTTTTTGGGATTCAAAGAACTTTGCACCAAAAGTTGAATGCAAAGAGAAGTTCTTCGAACTTTCGAACAGATGTCTTGGTTCTGAAATTCAAAACAAAGTGTATTACGAGGGTCAATCCCCAGGCTATTCCTCCATGTTGAATGTCCCTCCACCCAGTAGAGCTTCTGGGTCAAGAGGTCACCCTGTGCGTATGGTGCCCATGTCTCTCTTGAAAATCAATATCTGATATTTGCGAATGTTAACTCATGTTACATCAGTGCGAATGCAATGACAGCTTGTTAACATGCCATTTGCATCCATGTCCTGGTTTTCTCATGTTAAATCACCATCAATCACCATTGTTTGCCATATTTTTGATGGTTAACATCACCATGTTTAATGTTAAATCACCATTTGATGCTAAAAAGGACCATGACAAAATGGTTTTGTGGACCGCCATCAGGACCCGAGCCGCCTCCGTTCGGCCGCGAACTGGAACGCTGAGTGCCCTTTTGATGCGGAGTTATCCCCCCATGGTGATTCAATAGGGAAATATAGGGAAGATGAGGATTTATCAATGGATTAATGATTAAGGGTTTTCAGACAAACACATATGTTTCTATATGTTACGTTACGTTATCAAGTAAAAACACAACAACTACCTGGAATGCCGATCCAACATGACACAGAAAAAAGAAACATAATGTGTTGCGAAACCGGAAGCACAGAACAGCATCATCATCAGCATCATCATCATCATCATCATCATCAATATCAATAACCATTAATAACCATTAATAAACCACCATCATCATCATCATCAGCATGAGGTAGATTTCTCAGACACGCTTCGAAGCGAAAAGGAGTCACCGATCCGCCGCAACAAGGCGCGCGTCTCGATGGTATCGCCGGTATCGTCGTCATTTTGCGTTTTGTGGCGGCAACATGGCAACGTGACAACCCAGCTGACCAAGACAATACATAGAAGAAATGTATTCGCCCGGCATAGATTGTAGTTGGTGATTCGTGTCCGTTCTTGTCCGTTCTTGTCCATTCTCGTCCCAGTGATATCAGGAGTGACATCAATTTTGTACTTACCAGACATTACTACAATGTGAGGCCCCCAGATAGCTAAGTTGGTTTATAGCTCCAATAACTATGGTTTATGGTACTTATAATTAACTATAGTTACTGGGGCATATAAACCAACTTATAACTGGGGGGGCCACATTGTACATAGCCAGTTTGCGCATTCAGAAGGTGTCTATCTCAAGGACCGTAAGACCATCCCTGGTCAGTACATCCCAAGTGCAAGTGGACAAGCCATCCATGAAGAATTCAGCCTGTTTCTCGGGAAAGACTAAGCCAAAAAAGACTGTGTTTGGAGTTTGAAAGCTGTACTGTGTTTTTTTTGAAATCTTCCCTCGAACTTATTTGTTCAGATGGTTCTATAGTTTTACCTATTGCTTAGATATGTTTGATCAGTTATGTCAAGTTATCGATGTGTTGTTTCCAAAGATGTTAGTTGTTTTAAGTTTTAAGTGTTTGTCCACTTCTGTTGCTCTTTGTTATCGTTCGGTGTTTGAATGCGCCTCGCGTGCGTTTCCGCGTTTCAAGCAGGATCCAGTAACACCCGGGATCAGCCCGGATCCAGGTACAAGTACGGACAACCCAGGCGCACCGGTTTTTCAGTGATTGGAGCTTAGAACTTTCCCTTGGTTATCCATGACTGGATGATAAGTCATGGTTAGCTCCATAACTTTGGAGACCTCTGTCATCATCATATATATATATATATTATACAATATATCATAACATATTTTAATCATATGTTTTAATAATATAATATATATATATATGTGTGCTACCCCCCCCTGAAACCTACCGGTTTCGATTTTTTTTATTGTGGTTTACAGTGATTTTTGTTTGTTTTTGCCTTCAAAAGCAGCCAGCATTTTTTTCATTCATTTGAAGACTTGATGATTGAACGTGATGAGTCATGATGCTTCATGTGTAGATACAATGACATATTTTGATGGTATTTGCCCCATTGCGTTCCCAACAAAGGGTTTCAATTCAAACATTGACAGAATGCGCACGGCACTATGGCCAAATGTCAATTTTAAGCTTTACATTGTTTTCTTTTTACAATGTTTTTGTTCCTTCTTGTGACACGTGAAATTTTAGATTTCGTATGCTTTCAGATCTTGCAGGCATATTTTTTAATGATCAACATGGTAGATATTTCTTGGGCCTTTTTTTCCTTACTATGTAGTTTCTCTGTTGTTGTACTGATGCAGTGGCTCAATACTTTGGATGTTGTGTGGGTCTTAGGAGGTCCTAGGACCTCTTAGTTCGTACCCCTTCCAAACTATGTCTTAAGTATAATTTACGTACCTCCAAGTACCTCAACCTCTCTGCAAAGTTTCCCTTAAGTAGTGATTCAACCCATATGAAAAAGATCCTTCAACTTTGGGTCGTTTCCCCACACCTGAAAAAGGCAGTGAACACACTGTAAATGACTACACGAGACGATCAAACAGGCATCCTTCTCTTAACCAATTCATTCAAAGGGTGTGGCATTCCTTGAGCAAAAGAGTGTTCCTTTTCAATAGGTAGCATTCCTTTGCAGAAAGCCACTTCTCTTGAACATATATCTCTTCATTTCGATCAATCAGTGTTTTTTTCCAACATGTAAATATGCATTCTTAATTCACAGACCCATTTCATAACGTACTGAGTACAGTACTTCTGGAAGGAAGAAACACGTTGCACACACAGTCCCTGCAACATACAAGGCATCTTCCAATCAAATGCAGTATCTCTTCAAATCAAATAAGACTATCTTCAGAAATGCAGCCATTACTTTGAAGAACATACATGTTTTTCTCTAAGTGACACGATATTTGTTGAAAAACAAGCTCGATATTTAAAAGAACATGCTGAACATGTGGCACAAGTACTGCTACATTGTGCTTTCAGAGTCAGTATGCCCTAATGTTTTGACAGTAATTGTGTATACTTGAAATGAACAAATGTGAGCCGTCTTTGCTAAACAAAAACATCACAAATGCTACCTTTGTGAGATTGAGAGCGCCCCTTCTGAAGAAAAGTGACTTGACAGGTCACAGCATAACTTCAATAAGAAAGCTCTCTTAGTCTATGCAGTATTCACTGGAAACGATACTAGTTCCAAAAGAGTTGTAGTGTAGCATTACGTTTTTGCAATTTGCCATCGACAAGAGTGATACATTCCGTAAACATGGTGGGGCATTCCTTCAAGAAAATGCAACATTGCTTTGACACAGTGTGTTCATTTTTTCAGGCTTGGGGAAAAGACCCAAAGTTGAAACCTTTTTCATGGTAGTTGAATCAATCCCATCTGCTTAATGGAAACCCAAGATGGATGCATTTCCACAGGAATGCATTCAGAATGCATTCTGTCGCTAATCTGATCTAAGGTCTAAGATGATTTGCTCAGGAGTCCTAGGGGAGTCTTGGTTCTTGGTTTTAGCAGAGAACGCATTCTGAATGCATTCTTCCCAGAATGCAGAGAATGCATTCTGAATGCATTCTTCCCAGAATGCTATCATTGAAGTTAAGTTCAATTAGTCTCAATAGCAGACTTACACAATCCCCCAGTGGGTCAGATATGTCAGAGGCATGAACCAACGCATTGGGTGCACACTTTTAGTTCAATTCAATTTTGTTCTGTTTTTTCTGGACGGAGATCAACCATTGCATATCATGATTTGCTACATATACCATCTACAGGCCCAGCGTGCTGACGCATTCCCACAATGTGGGGCAAAACCCAACAAACATACCAGAGGAGGGGATGCGCCTTGCATGCTTCATTTAGGTTCTGTAAATATTGTGTTTTGTTGCTTAACTTTCATATTTTGTCAGTGAAGTCATTGATTTGCAATGATCACAGAATTGGATGATGGGAAAATTTACAGGAAACCCCTATATTTGATGGTAAAACCCATGGTTTCCTGTAGATTTTCCCTTAAACCAATCCATTGAAATGAATTCCACAGACCCCCTAGGACCCATGCCCCTGGTAAATATCATGTGCTCGAAGGCCGTCACCTTCTCGCCGTCGTCAGGTCCAAATTGTACAGCACCACCTTCGCGCCCATCAATGAGGAACGGTGATGCGGTGATGGAATGGGCGAGCATCCCTGGAACCAACGAAACTGTTACAATGATTAAGAAGAACACACAATTTAAAATAGGCTTAAGTATGTAATCATATGTTATCATATTCTCTACCATCATTTCAGGATTAACTATAATAACCTGGTTTTCAAACTCTAGGTTGTCAATATCATGAAGGATTTATTATTCTACACTATTTATTTGACCCCTAAAGATAAAGCTGTAATTGAGCGGGGGGTGACTTGTTTGCGGGGGTACCCTTCCATGATACAACCTATACAGTGACTTCGCTTGTGGGGGGTCAGGCATCAGTTCCACGGGTGAAGGTAATCCCCTGACCAAAATGGGTGAATGAAAAGCGTTGTTTCTAACCCATGACCAAAGATCCCCATCGTGTTAAGCTGTATCACCAACTTTTTGCTCATGTTTTCTCTTTAATCCAAATGTGTTGGCTAGACATGCTGATGTTCGATTCTGTATTTTTTCAGCACCATTTGCAGAAAAAAAAGATTGATTGGTTAGTGTCACATTGATGATCTCTCCATTTACCCTCCAGTGTCCTCAAACATGGCTGGCGGCGGAACATTCCGCATTGACTTCGATGGCTATAAACCTCCATTTAGTTGGGGATTTTCCAGCTAGCCACGTTTGATTTCCAGGGGTAATAGTTTTTCATAGTTTTCCACTATTTGCAGCAAACACAGGGCACACACTATCTCACTGAACAAGATTTACGCAGCGCTTGGCAAATGATGCGCAGCCTTTCGTGAGGGCGAGATCTATTTTACATGTTTTTACATTTCAAACCAGCTGAAACAATAACTATATAAAAAATATATATATATATATAACCATCATCAAATAATACAACAACATGGTTGATTTATGGAGGTCATATCTTTTCATGTCCCTTTGGGGTATGTGAACATGATCAGATCCTTCTTTTCATAACACATTTCATCCATTTCAACCTATGATCATCACTAATAAGACTTTGCATGATTTTTCTTCATTATTAACCATCTTTACAAAACAATCTATTAATAGAATTGTTTGATTTATAGGGGTAATGTGTTTTTTTTGTATTGGTATGTGAATCTATAATCTACTAATGTCATGGTCATATTGATGATGGTTAATTAGCCAAGAGGTTTACACATTTGGTTTGATGGTTAGCAACCCGAAAATAAGCCGCTAATCAGTTCCTTTCATGTCATACAAGGTGGTGCCCCCTCCAGTTATAAATTGGTCATAAACCCATGAACTATAGATATATCACCAACAAAAACCATAGTTATTGGAGTTATAAACCAACTTATCTATCTTCTGGGTAAATTATA